TTTATTGTGACTTGGGTGAAAGTTTACAGAGCAAATTCACTTTCCATACAGCAGTTCACATACACTTTGTCTCATGACATTGACTACAATTAACCCCAATGCAACAGCTCCCCTCCCACTTCTTCCTGATAGTTACCTCTTCCCTGTGTCCATCCTTCCATGCACTCCTGCCCCCTGCACTGTCTCCCTGTGCATAAACAGCCCTTCTTTCTCCCATGATTGTTCTCTCCAAGGAGTGTATCTACCTCTGGTAAATGTTCAACTCATATGCCTAGTATAACAGAGTTTATTTTTTTGTGAATATATTTGATTCAAATCAGGCAACATCACCTGAACATATCATGTTGGGATATGCTCTGAAAAGCAGACAGTGAAAGTGGATTATATAGATCATTGTTAGGTAACTTCTTAAGAGATATCATCAAAGCACAGGGCAGGTTACAGAAACAGTCACCAAGGACATGCCATACATCCTAAAACAACCTCTAGTTAGATGCTGGAGTTCCTGCTTGTTGAAGCTGGCTGCACCTGGAAAATTTTCCAAAAGTACCAAGAACGTCTCCACTAAGCTGTTCACTAAGCTATTGTTTGGCCTGAAGATGACTTCAGAGAACCAGTTCCTTTAAGATTCCTTTAAGGGCAGATGGCCTGGGTAGGTCACCCCAACTCCATGCACCCAGAAATTTAAATTTCCTTGGATTCCAAGAGAATCAAAGTGATTCTGTCAGACGTTTGCCTTGAACATTGTGCTGTCATAAAGAATAATCCATATTCAGTCAATTTCTACAACAGAAATTACAAAGATCAGAGCAATTGTTGTTGTTATGTGTGACCAAATGTACAACAGAATGAAACACTGCCTGGTCCTGTGCCAGCCTCATGATCCCTACTATACCTGAGCCTGTCGCTGTAGCCACCATGCCAATCCATCTTGTTGAGGGTCTTCTCCTCTTTGATCCTCCACATTACCAAGCATGATCAAAGTAGGTGAGATGAAATCTGGCCATTCTTGCTTCCAAGGAGCATTCCGGCTGTACTTCTTCCAGGACAGATTTGTTAGTCTTTTTAGCAGTCCACAGTACTTTCAGCATTCTTTGCCAACACCACAACTCAAAAGCATTGACTTTTCTTTGGTCTTCCTTATTCATTGTTCAGCTGTCACATGCATATGAGGTGATTGAAAATACCATAGCTTGTGTTAGGCACGGGAGCTCTGGTAGCATAGTGGCTAAGACACTTGCCTGCTAACCAGATGGCTGGCAGTTCAAACCCACCAGCCACTCCTCGGAAGGAAGGTTGGGCAATCCTACTTCCGTAGTGATACTGCCTCGGAAACCCAAGGAGGGGTCGCTATGAGTCGGGGCCGACTCAACGGCACATAACAACAACAATAACAATGTGTTAGGCACATTTTAATCTTCAAGGAGATATCTTTGCTCTTCAGCATTTGAAAGAGTACTTTTGCAACAGATTTGTCTTAAGTGCTGCTTCCATTGGCATTGACTGTAGAAACAAGTAATATGAAGTCATTGACAAATTCAATCTTTTCTCCATTTATCATGATGCTGCTTATTGGTCCAGTTGTGAGGATTTTTGTTTTCTTTACATTGAGGTGTAATCCATACTACAGACTGTAGTGTTTAATCTTCATCAGTAAGTGCTCCAAGTCATCCTTTCTTTCAGCAAGCAAAGTTGTGTTGTCTGCATATCTCAGGTTGTTAATGAGTCTTCCTCCAATCCTGATGCCATGTTCTTCTTCATATCGTCCAGCTTCTCAGATTATTTGCTCAGCATGCAGACTGAATAAATATGGTGAAAGGACACAACCTGATACATTCCCTTTCTGATTTTAAACCATGCAGTATCCCCTTGTTCTGTTCAAATGACAGCCTCCGGGTCTCAGTACAGGTTTCTCTTGAGTACGATGAAATGTTCTGGAATTCCCATTCTTCTCAATGTTGTCCACAATTTGTTACAGTGCATAAAATCAAATGCTTTGCATAGTCAATAAACCACAAGTAAACATCTTTCTGGTTTTCTTTGTTTTGAGCCAAGATCCATTTGATATCAGGAATGATATCTCTCATTCCATGTCCCCTTCTGAATCCAACTTGCATTTCTGGCAGTTCTCTGTGTCAGTTCTACTGCTGCAATCCTTTTGTGAATTATCTTCAGTAAGATTTTACTTGCATGTGATATCAATGATATTGTTCAATAATTTCCACACTCTGTGGGATCACCTTTCTTTGGAATGGGTACAAATACAGATCTCTCCCAGTCAGTTGGCCAGGTAGCTGTCTTCCAGATCTCTTGGCATAGCCAAGTGAGTTCCTCCAGCGTGGCATTCTTTTGTTGAAACATCTCAATGAGTATTACATC